AAAGAGTGCAGGATGTTTAACCCATGCTGCAGTTAAAGAAAGAAAAAAGGTGAAATCAAGTCATTCCTCTACTGTAAGAATGCTGATGTTTGTGCCCAAGTACTTACGTGCCTCTGAGTTTCTGCTGATGAAGTTCTTTCTGAAGAGTTCTTCCTCAAGAGCCTTGAACCTGGTTCCTCTTGCCTGATTCCAAGCTGAGGTAGTAGTTTGTACAGTTTGAGGGTCTATGATACCACCCGGTACAGGAGATTAACTGTACAGGCCACTGCCTTGCCTGGGACAGAGCACTGTCAGCTGAAAGAATCATGTATTCATGCTTCACCGTTACTTTCTCTTTATCAGAGGAAGATGAGATTCTGCATAGATTCTTCTGAAAACAGGTAATGGCAGTTTCTGGCAGAAAATTTAAGGATGTTCTGTCACTATTATCTGTAATAGATTTAGTGAGGGGAGCCAAGATTGCCTGAAATCCATCCTCCCTCAGTGGCTGGGGAGTGATAGTTTGCAGTCTGGTACACCAGGAATGTGTTCTGCTTCTTGATAGCGAGAATTTGAACCATTTCACCCTGATTCGTGTAGATCTCAGCCTCCTACAGTGCATGGTAATTTTTTATTACTGTCTAGGTCATTCTTGTTTTGTTTGTATTTGACCCTGAGCTGCTGGTATTCATACCCTGCACTGCCATTGAAGGTAGATATCTTCAAGGATGGGAGAGATGGGTTATGGCTTACAGACTTCAGGTGTTCATTAAATGTTATTTGTTAAAATGTATTGGTACTAGTGGCAAAGGGCTATAAACAAAATTAACAAAATTTGCACCCCTGCCTCTACTTTCACCTTTAGTATTAACATCGCAGCCTTAGCACTTCTTAGGGTATGGGCCAGTGTTCACTTAAAATGCTCTAGTGCCTCAGCACTATAAAAATACAGTGGTATGGGGGCATGCAGGCATTCCAGCTCTCTGACTGGAGAGTTATGAAGTCTCTTTAAAGACATGTTTTCCAGAAAGAGGGTGATAGACTGTCCCTCTTCTCCCCCTCTTACCCCCATGGCAGAAGCAGCTTTAGGGCCAAGGCAGCCTGCAGGGGTGAAAGCCATTGTTGACATCTGGTGGAGCTGCCATGGTTCCTGCAGGACGTGAAGTAACTCTTCCAGCTGCCACTTCTGCTACCACAGGAAAAAGTTCTTTTCACTGCTCCCCACAGCAGGGGCAGCAGGATCCCATCAGGGCCTGTGGCAGCGGAACAGGCCGTCACGCAGACAGCAGTTCTCCTTTCCTTGGAGCGAGGAGGGAGGGAGAGAAGAGGACTATAGGACGCTAGGGGGTCCCTAGAGACGATTGTAGTGCTATGTGTAACTGTGCAGTTAGTTATGTGTAGTTTTACGAAATGTAACCCTACCAAGAAGTTCCTGTTTGAAAGTGCTAATATTTGATAACACTTCAAGTGTCTTTGCAATGCTACAAACAGCTTGAAGGACTGTGCGCTCCCTTTCTGTAGCACTACAAAAGCATATTTAGTGCTACAAATATAATGCCCAGGGCCTAAATTGATGTCTTGTTCAGTACTGTTACTCTGATTTTAAAAGCTCTGTAGGAATCAAAATATTAAAGTCTCTTTCATTGCTCATAATACTAATATTTTCTTTCATCCACTTCCTTTTTTTTAAAAACAGCATTCTTACTTGCTTTTAAATTGCTTTTACATTAAAAGCATCTCTTCAGTTTCTGTACTCATTATTCCTGC